CATCTCAATGCTGACTGACACAAGCACACCCACATACACACAAACACACAACCTTGTACTTCTTTCTTTGTGAGGACACTCAATGACATAATGCATTCCCTTAACCTTACCCGAAACTAACCTAAACCTAAACCTGATTCTAACCTAAACCTAAACCTTAACCTTAACCTTACCCTAACCTAAACCTAAGCCTGATCCTAACCGGAACCTTAAAACCAAGTCTGTACCCTGAAATGTTTTTTGAAGGCCTGTCCCAAAGTGAGGACCGACAAAAATTGTCTCACTTTCCATAAATGCTCTGAAGTAGGACTGCACCTAACGATTATTCTTTTGATTAGTCCATTTATCTAACGATGAATCATTTATTCTAAAGATAATTTTGTATCAATATCACAATAAATTCACCCTAAATAAAAATCCCAAACTTGTCTGATTAATATTTAAATATTTTATTCAATGATCTTGTCTTGAAAACAAACAAATGTATCAAGATAATGGACCCTATTTGTCAGATCCCTGATCAGAAAAACACTGGATTTTTAAGGATATAGCTCTGACACATAGATAAATTAAAACAGTGTGTGTAATTACAACCCTTTCCCTGAAGTAGAGGATCAGTATTTTACAAGTACTTGACTTAAAATGGTAATGACCTAGAATAGATCGATTCAGTTAAGATAATCACTAATTGTACTTTTGCATCAGTGTGGGGCAAGCAGGGAACCACAGACTGTAAAAACAGTGTGTAACGTTAGCTTGAACCATTTTCTCCCTCATCAATGGCTGTTAAGGTGAACAGAAAACAGAAAAACGAATAACAACGTTAGATAAGGCATGCTGTAACGTTGCCATAACAGCAGCGTTGCCCAAATGACTTTCAACATCAAATCAAATGTACTACTCCTTCCAGAAACACATTCCACGCATTGATAATCCTAATATATCATGCTTTGGTGAGGACGAAGGGTAATCAGGGATGGGTTTTTTCCTAGTATTAATTTGCACATCAATATATTTTTTAATAACTGTTGTTTTTGTCGTGAATACTTTCACACATAGTGCTAATTTTAGGTGGCCAAAAAGCATCATTTCTTTTTCAAGCGAGTCCAGGTTTTCCTCAGCTTTCGCTCTGCAAATAGAGGCATCGACCAATCTCACTGAAACGGGTTGAGTTGGTCTTATATTTATAAAACAACAACATGGAGGATCAATGACGTTGATTATATGTCAAGAAATTGCCCCAGCCCGACCCCGAAGGTCTAACACTCAAACTCGTCCTCACAAAGATAGCTGTACAAGTTAACACACACACACACACACACACACACACACACACACACACGCCTATACAAACACAATTACACGAGTATAATCAGAGATATATGACAGGATTGAACAGCAGGAAAGCTGCTTATTAACCCTTTTTATCTCTGTTGTTTCATTGATATTCTTTATTTCTTTATTTATTTATTCTCTCTCTCTCTCTCTCTCTCTCTCTCTCTCTCACACACACACACACACACATTGTCCCTCTTTCTTATCTCTTGCTGAACTTTCCTCTTGTCTCGTCTGTTGTCCTGCTGGTTTCCCTGTGAGCCGGGCCTCTCACTATCACATCAAAAGAACTCGAGTGCCAGTTCACAGTCCAGGTAAGAAAAACATAGAGATGTAGAAGAGTGTCAAAACATAAAAGAATTGGGAACTTTCATCTTTCATCTCGTTGGGGACAGAGAGAGAAAATGGAGGCTGTGGGAATTTCCCAGTCATACAAAAGAAGGCCTACATGGTAAGAGCATGATCATTTATTCACGTCAGACTTTCACAATATTTACCATAATTTTCCTCAGGTGTTCAACAACGTTAGTTCAGGTGTGGAGGAGGAAGGGGGGCCTCGGGCTAATTCTTAAATCAGGCAAGAGGCAAGACGGCCACACGCTGCTTAATTTGCTAGCTGGGTGGACTCGCCTTCCTCCGAGGGGATGAAAACTAAATCAAATGTGCAATGAAAAAACTCCAAACACTGCATTTCACTGCATTGCTGATTCGTAATAGGCGCAATATGTTTAATTACATATTAACTTTGTATTCTGCGGAATTTCGACTTCAGCCTTCAGGTCAAATCGTACCACGTTACATTACAAAAAGTGCTGAAGGCTCGGCCATATTTGTATGCAACATGTTCAACGTAAAGGACCTACACAGTGTGTCTATTTTCAGTAGACATCGGATGTTTTGAAATGATTAGAAGTAGAACAAAGGAAGAGTGTGTCCTGGTTCCACCCCCATTATCCCCGTGTGAGTGTGAATCATTTATGTCTCCTTTTAGTATGAAAGCTGTGTGCCCGGTGTGTTTTCTCTCTATCTCTCTATCTCTAGGTGACTATCTCTAGGTGACAGCGTTCCATGGGAGGAGTTGCACACCTGTGTGTAATGTCGTCAGTGGACTCCTGCTGAGAGCACATCTGTGGAGGATCTTCATTATAGTTTATATACTGTAAGTAGCATGCTGCTGCCAGGATGTCGTAGTTCATTGTCTGAGTAGTATGTATTATGCCAAATTCCTGGCTTTAGACTATCAGTCCTAGTTTTGAGTAATTTCAGCCTCTCGTTTGTTTGCGTTTTCTGCAACTTCTGTTGCTTGAGTCCTCAGTTTCTTTTGGT